AAGAAGAAGAAGAAGATGAAGATGACGATGATGATGAAGATGAAGATAAAGAAGATGAAACAGAAAATAAGAGAAAGGAAGACAAACATAATGAAAAGGAGGAGAAGAAGAAGAAGAAGAAGAAGAGGACTACATTTTACTACTACTAATACACTGCCTACGTAATTCGCAAAAGTCCTTCGTTGTCTCCGAGAGAGAAGGTCTCCCTTTCTTTCCTTAGTTTCTACTCTTTTGTTTTTTTTTTTTGCGAAGCCATCTCGGTTGTCTGTCAAGACACTTTTAAAATGCTATCCTCCCAGTAGAAGCAGAAGCAGAAGCAAAAGCATCGACGTGAAGCAAACAGGCAGCCAGAGCAGACAGGGCAGGCAGGCAGGCAGGCAAGCAAGCAGAAAGAGAGAGAGAGAGAGAGAGAGAGAGAGAAAGAGACCCTTTTCTCTTCCCTTCAAGGTGGATTCCCTTGTTTCTTATTCCCAACGGTGTGTTCTTCACTTCGGCGGACCATTCTTGGAGAAAAACGCGAAATAACGAAGGAAGGGAATGCAACATGCGGAAACCGGTCTTCCTTCCTTCCTTTCTTCCTTCCTTCCCTTTCTTTTCCTTTCCTTTCCTTTCGTTTCGTTTCGTTTCGTTTCGTTTCGTTTCGTTTCTTTCCTTTGCTGATTTCTTTTCTAGCTATAGTTGTTACAGAACGAGGAAGAACTTTTTTATCTTCCTCCTCCACTTCTTCTTCTTCTTCTTCTTCTTCGTCATTGTCGTCGTCGTCGTCGTCGTGGTCGTGGTCGTCGTCGTAGTCGTGGTTGAATCTAAAAAAGAGAGAGAGAGAGTTAGACTGTGACAGAAACGAGCATCCGTCACCGAGACCGATGCGATCAATCTTCCAATCCCTTCACCCCCACCCACCCCTCTCCTTCTCTCTTCTTTCTAGTTTTTTATTACCATTATACTCAAAGGGGTGCAATGCGAATAACTAGCTCGATCAAAAACCTTCTTTAGTTTCCTTTAACGAAAACTACCATCTATAGTATGTAACAAGTATAGTTATTATTATAGTTATTATTATTATTATTATTTATTCTATACGTGATTGCTGCTCGTTAAAACATTTTTATATATTTTCATTTGATTTGATAATTAATCATCTATAGTATATTACAAGTATAGTTATTATATATTATAATTATAGTATGTTGCAAGTTAGTTATACTTTAGTAGCATAACTAACGTACTTAATTGTAAGTACTAATATAATAACTAAATAGTATAAACGAGTATACTCGTGATACGAAAGGCAACCCTTCAATAAACATTTAATCCTACATGTCAAAACATAATCCTACAATCCAATTTGATCCTATTCTATACATGCGTGTGTCTGTCATGTCAAACAATTATTAACTATTACACTTATGAACTATTTAATCAGTTGCAATATTTTGCAATTAGTTTATTAACTCGGTACTGAAATTGTTTAAAAAAAAAAAGAAAAAAAGAAAGTAAAACATAAACTATAGAAAGTAAGAAAGAAAGGGATGACGCATTTTTGAAATACCCCCTAAGGGAAGTTGAATAAAAGAAGCGAATAAAAGAAGAAGAAGAAGAAGAAGATGAGGAGAAAGAAGATGAGAAGGAGGAGGGGGAGGAAAAGAGGGGTACTAAGACGATCGAAAATAAGGGGGTAATGCACCTAACGGGGCGGAGGAGAGAAAAGGTTCCATGAGATATAACGAGCGGTGGGCATCACGGGCAATTATCCCGCCCATTCTTCCCGCCTCTAGAGTCTCGATGGACGTTTCGTTTTTTCTTCCCTTCACTTCCCATCCCTTTCCCACCTTCGAGAAAGGGCCTCATCGGTTCGAGACCCTCCTCACCCTCCTCCCCCCCCTTCTAGCTGCTTGCTCCTTGCTCCATTACACCGAGTCGAGAGGAAAAATACTACTTCCCCCATACTATTCCTTCCTCCTACCCCTTCTTCACCACCTCCACGATGTTCCCTTCTTCCAAATTATAGACCTCGTGAAATTACGTGGTCACCCATAACACCCGAGAGAAAAAGAGAACGGAACCAACCCTCCCCCCCCTCCCCCTGCCCCCAAAAAGAAAGAACCTTTCGATCTTCTTCTTCTTCTTCTTCTTCTTCTTCTTCTTTTATTCTACTAAAAATCTTTCATTTTAATCTCTAAGAGTTATAGAAAGTATTTCGTTTGTTTTATTTTTATTTTTATTAGCTATATCTAATACAGGTAACACCTTCCTATAACACGGTTTTGTTTTAACACACTTCAAGAAAAAGTTGATACAAATCTTGATACGACACTGTATAATACAATGATTGAAATTAATGAACTCTGAATTGTCCTACAACAACAACAAAGTATTTTCTAAGAACCCATCTATCATGTTAAATAATATCTGTAATGTATTTTATAAGAAGAAACAAACCCTTATAAGTTGATTCTACATCATTCTGGGAGTGTTGCTAATAACTTTTGCAAAAATTGAATTAATCCATGAATAATTGAATTATTTTGAATTATCTTTTGTTCTAGTTGGCAACTCTGATGCCTCTGGTACATTACAACTGTTCCAAACATTTGAGGTTATTCCTTTGTGCGGTATTTGCTCCAGTATGTTCGGAACATGTAGCCATGCAAATACCAGCTTGCAAATCTCTCTGTCTTTCGGTCAGAAGGGAATGCGAACCTGCATTGACCAGTCTCACATTACCTTGGCCAAATATGCTCGATTGCGATCGATTTTTAGATAGAGGTAATTATCAATGATTTATTTCATTTGTAACATTATTTTATATTTGTTTGTTATTTTTCTAGGTAATACACTTTGCGTTCAACCACCTGAAGAAACACTTTTGGATCAGCCTGTTCAACCTGTTCAACAGCAATGGCCAACCCCAGAACAAATTCAGCCTGTACAAACGTCTACAGGATTACAAAATCATCATCAATGTCCACCTCATTTCGTAGAAACACCGGATGTACAAACGGTTGGTTCAAATGTTTCCAATAGATCAATGAAAAATCGTACATGGAATGAAGTACATTTAATAACATCATCATTTATGTAATTTGTAGATTTCTTGTGTACCACGTTGCGGTACCGACGCATATTATCGTGCCGAGGATAAAAAGTTTACCGAAAGATGGATAATAGGATGGGCATGGCTTTGCTTTTTGTCAACACTTTTCACCCTTCTAACATTTTGGGTAGAACCATCGAGATTTCGTTATCCAGAAAGACCTATAGTATTTCTCGCATTATGTTACAACTTATTATCTGTGAATTATATCATCAGAGGTGCTATCGGTACCGAAACCCTAAGTTGTGTTAGTCAAATCGATGGACCAAGTTACGTGCCAGTTCATGATGGATTGAAAAGTATTCCTTGTACGTGTTGGTGGATCGTGAAACATTATTTAAATTTAGCCAGTAGCACTTGGTGGACATTATTGTGCGTTTGTTGGTTCCTAAGTGCTAGAAATGAATGGAGTAGCGAAGCATTGCACAATATTGCTTCGTATTTGCATGCTGTTGCTTGGGGATTACCACTCTTTATTACAGGAGGTAATATTTTGTGAATTATATGTTTTATAATATAATGTCAGTGTTTTTTTTTTAGAAATATTCCAATAAAAATATCCCCTATATTATTATTTGTTCACAGGAAGTTTACTTTCTCGTCAGATAGTTGCAGATGAGCTTACCGGTCTTTGCCAAATAGCCGACGAATCCGCATTGTGGCACGAAGTTTTACCACACTCAATCTTGATGTTCCTCGGTTGCATTTTAGCAGCCATTGCAGGTGGTGCATTGATTCGCGTTAGACGTGCCATTCGTTCGGCCGGTCGTAGTGCAACGAAATTGGAAAGATTGATGACACGTCTTGGAATTTTTGCTGTACTTTACGTATTGCCAGCACTTGGAAACTTGACGTGCATTTTACAAGAATCTTCGACTAAACCCAGATGGCGAATGTTAGCCCTTTTAGCTGCTCTCGATTGTCGTTCTGCCGAAAATTGTGCACCTGGTCCAGTTTACAGAGCTGCAGGACTGGAAGTGGCCCTTCTGAAACCATTTTTGTCTTTGGTCATTGGCGTCACCTCAGGCATGTGGGTCTGGTCTGGTAAAACTTGCCGAGCTTGGAGTAAATTACTTGCAGCTCCTAGTAAACCTACCAGAACAATACCAACTGCTCAACCTCTGACACAGAATGTTCTTAGAAATTTTAAAACTGATGTAAATATTGTGCCATGAGGTATCTTCTTTTTTTTTTTTTTGTTTATTAATGCAAGGGAAATACTCTCTCTCTTTAATTGTACATAATATGTAAATATTACCAATGTATTATACGTTTTTGTTAAAGACCGATGATCTTTTAAAGATATTTTAAAACTCATTTCGTTTCTTTTTTTTTTAATCAATTTTTCCATTTATACTATGTATGAAGGTAAAAAGATATTGTACAGAAAATTTATCTTCATTGTCAAATCATTGTTTTTCTTAAATATGATGTATTAATTTAATTACAAAAATAAAGTAAGTTAAAACTTTGATCAATAACTCAATTACCTGTTTTTAAATTATCTCTTGATGATAAGACAAATGTCTTCCTTACCGACATACTCTTGATCTTATTGAAAAATATTTCTTGAAATTGATGATATACAATATAAGTATACGATAATTATATAAAAATATTATTTTATCTCAAATATTATCTTACAGATAATTTCTATTGAATTTTATAAAATTTGAATAACAAATAATATGATTGATATAAAATTATAATTGCAATAATATAAAACACACTCGGTGCACTCGGTTTTTTATGATATAAGATGGCGCTGCAATTGATTGATTCTATTGGTTATCGTTTGAACCAATAGAAACGTGACAACGTGCGCTATCTGTGTTTCTTAAATGGAACTTATTGATACATTTAATACTCAACTTTCTTGAAGTTATATACTCTGTGTATAAATAATCCCACGTGTTTGCATGGTTATGTACAGAGTTGATGTTAGAAAAAAAAATCTAAATAGTGTTTCTTATTATTATTAATTAAAAGTATTTATTTTCGATAATAATAATGGGTAAAATAGCACGATTGGGTAGTAGAAAAAAAGCAAAACGTTGGCCAAAAGGACAAAGTTCTAATTCTAACCCTGAAACAACAAAACATCGTGAAAAAGCCACATGGATGTTTTTTAAAGATTTTGCTGGTAAGTTCGGTAATTTATATATCAAATTATATAATAAAGTGTGTTTTACGATTAATAAATTTGTATACTTTATATAAACAATCTATTTAATATACTTAGGAACACCCGGTATAACAACAGAAGATTTACAGAAACATGATGCTATGCAAAGTATTCTACCTCGATTAAAAAATGTAGAAATTGGTGATGACGATGATGATGGTCAATCAGAAAGTGTCATAGATGGAACAATTGATTCTGTAAAATCATTTGCCAGTACTTACAGTAATTGTACACACATGTCTTTCAGAGGGTAATTATAATCAACACCATTGAATTAATATTCTTGTATATTTTGTTTACTTACATTCATTATGGATTATTATTTTTTGTAGATTTTTAGAACATTTTCAACCTAAATCATTGATTCAAAAGGAAATGTTAGCTGTAATATCAGCGGTTACAGAAGTTATTAAACAAAATGGTGGTACTGGAACTACTACTGAATACTTTGGTGCATTGGTAAATCTAACAAATTATTTTATTGATTATTTTTAATGCAATATGTGTGATACCAAATGTTTTTCTCTTTTTTTTTTTTTTTTTTTTTTAGATGAGTACCTTGGAAGCAGTAGATACCGATATATCTGTTGCTGCTACTTTATCTTTATTAGGAATGGAATTTAAAAGTGTACCTATTAATGTACTCAATGCACAATTTAGTGCAGTTAGCAAAGTTTTTCTACAAATATTAACTAAATATATTGAAGTTGAACATTTTCTTATAATACGACACGTAAGTTTATTATCTATTAATATAATTATTAATGTTATAGAATTTATGATTAATTTGATAATACTTTTAGTGTATCGGTTGTATTTCGTTGTTATTACGATTTCAAGAAGCTGCAGTTTGGTCCAATTCTTCAACGACACAAATATTAGATGCAGTTCTAACATTTACTATTCACAGTAAACCGAAAATAAGAAAAGCTGCACAATATGGAATATGTTCTTTGCTTAAAGGTATTATTCAATTATTATCGAATAATATATTATTTAATTTTCATAATACATTTTATTTTTTAATGTAATTTTAGCAAGTTATATTATGACTCGTGAAGATGCTCCTACGTATCATCCAGCTGCACCACATGTTGCTAAACATTGTATAAATCAATTGAACGCAGCTTGTGAACCTGGTGGAATAACCAGTGTTCTTCACATTCTTGTTCTACTTAAAGACATTATACATGTATTACCAAAATCATACGTAAAGGTACATCTAATAAGATTATTATTATTATTATTATTTAATATGCATTCTAATATCATCAATTATATTTTCACGCAGACCATTTGCGAAGAACTTTTACGCATTATGGGATTAAACAATGTTTTGATAACATCATGCTGTTTACAAGTATTACATGGATTATTCGTGTCTAAACCATCTGAAACAATATTACCATCACAAAGAAATGCACAAATCATAACTGCTCTTTATGATTATCAACCTCCTGCAACTGATGCTCAACCAACTCTTGCTTGGTTGACTGTTATGCAAGAAGCACATTGCAATCTCATTGAGTAAGCAAAAATTATCAGAAATATATTCATTATCAATTTTAATTATACAGAGAGAGAGAGAGAGAGAAAGAGAGAGATATGAATTAGAAATATAATGAAAATAATTGTAGGAAATGTCCGGATACGTGTGCTGCCATTATGCCTCGAATATTTGGAAAGTGTATTGAATTATGGTTCTCTGATAAACAAGAAGTTGTATCGGGTACTTTTCATACTGTCAAAGTACTTTTACATGATTGTATTAGCCATTTATGTAAAGATGAAGAAACTGGAAAAAAGTATGTTTTATAATTTAATGAATTTATTATAAAAAAAAAAAAAAATGATATCTATAGTTTAATGTAAATCAATTTTTTTTGTTTTTTTACAGATACAAAACAATACTGGATCAAATAATTTGTATGATGCATGAGCCAGCAAAGAATCAACATCTTGACACAAATAAACCATTTGACTGTATACTTTATTCCATCGAATTGCTATTTCAAGTAATTATCTTTTACTTAAACAAATAGAATAACAATATACATTTTAATATTTACTTTTATTTTATATAAACTATAATTGATATCTTACAGATAACTGGCAAAACGAAAAATCCACATCTCATAGATATTTTAAAAACTTTAGGAAAGTTGTGCGATTTGAACAATTTTACGTATACCTCAGCAGCTGAAAATGCAATTGGAGCAGCTATAAAAACACTTGGTCCTCGTATAGTTTTAAAAACTCTACCTGTTCAAGTATGTTTCAAGTATCCAATTTGTAACTAAATAATCTACAAATTAATTTACTATTTATTCACTTTCCAAATTAATGGGCTCAATTATGTCATAGATTTAATCAAATTTATCTAAATTCTTATTCTTTCTAGACAACGGAGGGTTCTTTAAATCTAGAAAGATGTTGGCTGTTTCCATTATTGAAAGATTCCATTACTTGTGGATCAATTTCATTCTTCACGGAAATATTATTACCATTAGCAGTGTTTTGCAAGTAAGTATAAATTATTTCAACGATACTTAAAATATCTTCTTCTTCGTGTCACGTTGTTTGTCCACAATGGACTCTTAAACTACTGAACGGATTTGAATAAAATTTCGCACACTTTGTGCAGTTTTATCTAACTTGAAAGATAGGATTATTTAGATCTCAATTTATAATCGCAATTGACTTAAAGATGTGTGTATCGGACTGATTGTGGCGAGGCACCTTTAGTGTAAATTTATATTTAATGATTTTTATTTTAGCAACAAATCCAAAGAACCGGGTGGTAAAAATTATGAATTATTAGTAACACAAATCTGGGCAATATTGCCAAGTTTGTGCAACGATGCTGATGACGTTAAAACAAATTTCAAGGTATAACAATTAATTTCATTAATATTACAAAATTGTAATACATTTTGATCATTTATATATATATATATATATATTGTTGTTATTGTAGGATATTGCTAAATTGTTGGGATCAATTATTAGCGGAGTTAAAGATTTAAGATTGTCAGCAATGTCGGCTTTAAGAAAATTGATAGTAAGAGCAACGGAAAATAATAATACTGAAGATATATCGGAGCTTGCACGTTTTGCCAAAAATTATTTACCAGTTTTGTTTGTTTTGTACACAAATAAACCAAGAGGAACGGACGAGGAGGGACATCGTTTAGCTGCATTTGAAACTATTAAGGTAACATTAAAATATAATTCATTAATTATTTGTAATATAATTTTTATATATTATTATTTAATTAATATTTATTTACAGATATATTTGAAAATAACACAACAACAATTGATATGTGAATTATTTGATAAAGCATTAGACAAATTAAAGGGCACTGAGATAGATGATTATACAAAAGAAAGTATTTACGATTTGATAAGATTGTTGATTGAATTTACCGATGTTTCTAGAATTAAACAATTCTATGACATGTGTGTACCATATATCCGAGATAAAACTAAAGGAAAAGAACAGAAAAAAGCTTACAAGTATAATTTCATTCATTATATACATTCATTTATATATATATATATATATATGTCAAATATGTGAAATTAATTGAACAAAATATTATTGTAGATTTTTGGAAGGATTATGTGGCAGTGAAAAGGAAATATGTAAAACTTTCTTTAAAGAACATAGACAGGAAATTCAAAAATTAATGATCAGTTCTGCAACTACATTAGTTCAAACGAGTAAAGGAGTATGTATATAATTATTATGTATAAATGTTTTATTTCATTTTGTATATATATATATATATATATGTGTGATGTGTATTTTTTTGTTTTATTTAAAAAAAAAAAAAAATAGGCTCGTATAAGATGTTTGATACATCTCGTGAAAATTCATCCAAAACTAGAGAAATCCAAATTTTTGCAAGCTATCATTCCAGAAGCGATATTATGCGTTAAGGATATAAATCAAAGATGTCGAACTTCGGCGTATCAATTGATACACGCCATTGCTGATGTATTTTTACAAAAATCATCAAATCTCGAAGAATATATGAAAATGTTAATAATAGGTTTGGCTGGTGAACCAAAATGTTGCAGTTGTACTCTACTTGTTTTAGCTTCTATGATTTATCATTATAACGGTAATTAATATTTATTATTTATATTTATTTAATATTACGTCACTGTAATAATATTTTTTTAATAATATTGTTGTTGTTATTGATAGATTCTATTGAAAAGGAAACTTCAGAAGAAATGTTACAACACGCGTGTTCCCTTGCAATTAGTCCAACAAGAGAAATAGCTGAATCGGCATTATCATATATTAAAGTATTTATTAGTATAACCTCGAATGATTTAATTGCAAAACAATTACAAAAAATAGTAAGTAAAATTGATTTAATAATATTCAACAAAAGATTTCAAATTGGGCGTCGTATCAGCGTCTCTCGAGTTGCTACTTGAATCTGTTGTCGGGGCGCCGTATCAGCGCCACTCGACTTACAATTTCAATCTGCTGCTAGACGCTAATTCGACGCCACTCGAGTGCAAAATCTTCAATGATATTACTACTATTAATATTTTGTTAATAAAAAAAAAACATTAAATTGTTGTCCTAGGTGAAAACATTGACCGATATGAACGACAATTGTAAACGACACTTTAGACAAAAAGTACGAGACATTTTTACCAAATTGATCAGAAAATTTAGCATTAAAGTCATTTCTCCAATGATACCAACGTCAGACGTAATACTTCATAAGAGATTGAAAAATATTAATAAGGTTGAACAACTGAAGAAAAAGAATAAGGAATTGAAAAAAATGAAGAAAAGTGAGAAAGATGATGACAATGAATTTAGTGCTAAGAAAAGACCAAAAAGGTAATGGGAGTCCTCTTAAATAATTCACAAAATACAATTCTACGTACTAATTCTTTATTTTATTTTATTTTTTCTTAGCATGGAAGATCTTTTGGCAGACAGTGAAGAAGAATACGGTGATAGTGAGGATGAAGAACCCAAGAAAAATAACAAAAAACGAACATCAAGAAAAGAAGCTTGGATCAAAGAAAATGCTGAAAATATTGTTGATTTGATTGATCCTACAACTGCTAGGAATATAACTAGTTAGTTTTTACTTTGTTTTAGTAATTTTTGCAATATATTATTTAAACAAACAATTTTCTATACTTTTCAGCAACAAAACCTGGGACTAATAGTAATATGAACGTGGTACCTATAAAAAAACCAAAAGAACCAAAAGATTATGGATTTAAAATTGCTCCTGATGGACGTTTCATTATTAAGGATGATAATCAAAAGGATGATGATGAGGATAATGAAATGGAAAATAAAAAGAGAAAATATATGTTATCTGAAAATGATTCAAATGATGATTATGGTAATTTTATGATACATTATAATAATTTATTTCTTAACTTCCTTCGCCGGATATATCCGGCATCTACCCGAAGACTCGTGTACGTGTTTCCGTACGACACGTGACGACACTTTGGTGGACTGGATTGATGAAACGAAAGGCTTAAGGATTAAATATTTATTATTAATTGTTCTGGTTTTCTTTTTTGTTTTTTTTTTTTTATAGAAGATGATGAGGAGGACAAAAAATCGTTAGCATCAGTGGACCCAGCAAGTCGAAAGAGAAAACATGGCGCTAGTTCTGATACTACAAGTATGAAGAGTTTTGGTTCATCGAAATATCGAGGTAAGACATAATTTTAAAAAATAATAATACTATCCAACAATTGAACAAGTTAAATCAACAAATATTAGTGTTCTTTTGATCACTAATGTTAAGAGTAATACTGAAAATTACCACAGAAAGATGGTGTCTTTGTTTGCAAAATATTACAAAGAAATTATTCTAATCAAAATAATTTTATAATTTTATTATAGCTGGAGGCTCAGGTATTCATCGACCATTAAAAGTAAGAAAGGTAGAACAAACGACACCTGGTTCTGAGTACCGTGCACATAAAGCTGGAGGTGACATCAAGAAAAAGGGTAAACCAGATCCTTATGCTTATGTACCATTGACAAGAGCTGCTCTAAATAAAAGGTATATAATTATATTTAAAAAAACAAATGTGTTAAACTCGTTAAAATAATAATTTGAGATACAAATAAAAATATTGAATTTTAGGAAGAAGAAAAAGATGGCGACGAAGCTTCGTGGTATTGTAGCTGGTGCTAAGAAAGGAGCACAATTTGGAACGAAAAACAAACGAAATAGAAAATAATCACAAAGATCAAAATCATCTTTGATTATGTTTGATTACTTAATTTTTTTTTTTTTTTTGTAAGAAGTCAATTAAATATATATGTATATATATATTATGAGATTATTTTGTTTAAGAAATTTAATAGTAAAACAATTATAATAATTAATAAACTGTAAATACAGTTTAGCTATTTTCAATTTTTCCTATTCTAATTGAGAAATGATATTTTTTATTTAATACAATCAATCCAATACACACGTCTCTAAGTCAACGAATTAACTTATACCGCCATCTGTTAGAATCTTATCGAACTAACAGAGATAATCATGACTCTTTGTTAATAAACTGAAATAATTTGCGATAAATTGAGATATAAACAATCCTATCTTTCAAGTTGGATGAAACTGCACAGAGTGTGCAAAATTTTATTAAAATCGGTTCAGTAGTTTAAGAGTCCATTGTGGACAAACAACGTGACACGTAATTTATATATATTAAAGAAAGAAGAAGAAGATATATATATATATATATATATGTGTTACTGTTAAAGTATTTGATTATTATGTCAATACGATACATTGAAATTCGAGAGAACAATGCAACTAACAGAACTTTTGTTTTCAAAATACAGAAAGAGTTTAATAATGGTTAAGTAGTATGATCATGTTGTATAAATAACAAACAGATCTAATTTCAATTTTATACATTACCTGATGATCTGTATAATTAATTTCACGAATTATTGTAACATATGGTAACATGTATATAAAATAATCTGCACAGAATGCAATTTATAATTGTTCATTTGAAGTCATAAATAAACAAATTAATTAATATTCATTTTGTTTGTATTTTGTTTTGTTTTTTGTATTCAATATGTTATATAACAAAAGAATGATACGAAATCATAACGTACAATTTGTATTATCCCATCATCATCAGTGATACTGTTTTTTTTTCCATTTTATATTGACAACATAAAAATGACATGATTTTTTTGTTTTGTTTTTTTACTTCATTCATTCTAGATATAAAAAAAAAAATTATTAACAAATAATGAGACACGCTTCATAGAAATATTTCTATTTAATTTGTAAACTTTGTTATTGTTGTGTATTTGTTTAAGCAAACATTATTTTCAGTTGAAGATAAAAATGTGATATTAGATTAGGTTATTCTAAGAAATATGGATGTAATTAGTTAGCTGTTGTCCTATTTTAACTTCTGTAACAAAAACAAACATAATATTATCTTCTAAATACAATATAGAGAGATATTAAAAAACCCTTTCGATACAACTGATGTTTATAATCAAACCATTGTTTAACACAACCACAGTCACTCAATGTGTCCATACATTCACATTACTACCAATAATTACAGTTTATAATTATAATAGTATTACAATGATTCTAATGTAAATCATTTCAAAATTGTGTGATATTCAATCCTTAATCAAATTAACAATAAAATCTTTCTTTACATTATAATTAACCTATACAATAGAACCTTATTCATAATACAATGTTGTAGTACAATGAAAGCATACTTGTAAAAATAACATAGTTGTATCAAAAGGATTAATTAATTAGTCATTGAATATTGATTTACCTATTTTGGGAGGTACTTTTTTTAGGTAACATACTATCCAAGTTACCAGAATTACTCATTTCTTTGACTATATCTAATCCGCCAATAAATTCACCGTTAATATACACTTGTGGATAAGTTGGCCAATCGCTAAACTTCTTCAAACCTTCCCTGATCGTATTATCTTGCAATACATCAAAGGTTTGATATTCCGCTCTATGAGAATCGAGTAAAGCAATCATAGTTCTTGAAAAACCACAGCGTGGATGTTCACGATTTCCTTTCATGAATACCATACAAGGTGCTTGATTTATAAGTCTTTTTAATCTAACTTCCAATGTTAATTCAGCTGTCAATGGTGTTGCATCTTCATTGACCAAATGATATTTAACTCTTTCTGTTAACAATCCTGTATTAACACCTTCAATTCTATCTATTATTTCTTCATTTTTATACAATAAAATAGTTGGTATTGCTGTAATGCCAGCCTTCAATGAAATTTCTGGTAAATTTTCAGCTTCTACCATTGCAAATTGAACTTTATCGTAATCTTTCAATAATTTCATTTCTTCTAGAACGTCGTTCACTTGTTGACATTGTTCTGCCCATGGTGCAAAGAAATGTATAACCGATAGATCTTTGGACCTTGGATAAAAGAAATAATATATTTATACATATATACATGTATATATTACATATATATGTATATGTATGTAATATACATTTATTTAAAAAAAAACAAAAAAATATTTGTTGCTCTTTGATCTTAGAAGTAAAAAAAAGAAAAAGAAAAATATTGAAATATGAGTAATATAAATATCAATTAGGTCAATATAGATGGAATGCATTTAGATAACGATAATGCGCTTGAAAACAAATCGATAACATTACGAATAAAGCTTGTTTAAATAATAACATGATAATACCTAGGATATAGAAGAAAATTTAATACATGTATAATAGAAAAAAAAGAAAAAGAAAAAAAAAGATGAAAAGAAAGGAAAGGACAAAAAGAAAAAGTATAATAAAAAAGCATGTGATAACTTACTTGATAAATTCAACGTATTCCGGTGTGGTTTTTAAAACGGTGACAGTCATTCTGTCACCTGTTAGTATTTAATTAGAACAATGGAAAACAAAAATAATGTATTATATCTAAATAAATGTTAAACCGGTAAATGTCTCCTTCTTTGGCACACACGACGAACATCCACGAACATCACGACATTCACGACTACGCGACCAAAGTTATCGCTTTCATGGAGGTTTAGAATTGGCAAGTGTTGTGATTGGTTGTCTACTATCCAATCGGAGATAGGAAAATGGCAGACATATTTTCGCGCTAAATTGCAACATATTTAAAATGATTTAATTGTGGTTTTTGAAAACGATGACAGTCATTCTGTCACCTGTTAATATTTAATTAGAATAATGGAAAAAAAAAAATGTATTATATCTAAATAAATGTTAAACCGGTAAATGTCTTCTTCTTTGGCACACACGACGAACATTCACGACTACGCGACCAAAGTTATTGCTTTCATGGAGGTTTAGAATTGGCAAGTGTTGTGATTGGTCGTCTAATATCCAATCGGAGATAGGAAAATGGCAGACATATTTTCGCGCTAAATTGCAACATATTTAAAATTATTGAATGATTTGATTAGAGATTGTGATTATTTTCAATTAGATACAATCAACATATATTTGTTTAATATATAAATAATAATTGATAAATTCATATTAGATATAAATAATATCGTAAATTTTGAAAAGAAGATTGGAAAATAGAATTCAATAGAAAATTTACACGTTGACGTATGGAGACAAAAAAGAAAGGTATGTAACTTTGTGAACGTACCTTTAAAGTAATGGCATTAGGTGTGCCAGTATATTACAAAGTGACCAATCATAAGAGCCGATGGTCAGTACATAATGCTATATGGAAGAAAAGGAAACGAGAAGGGGGATATCAATGTGTAAGAAAGATATCAAATGAGAGAAGGAATGAGAAGAAGAAGAAGAAGAAGAAGAAGAAAAAGAAGTAGAAGAAGTAGAAGAGGAATGAGAGAAGTAGGAGGAGGAAAAATGAAACGTAACAAGAAGGAGGAGGAGGAGGAGGAGGAGGAGGTGAATTGTCAGACACCTCGCCCACAAAAAGCCGATGCAGATGCGCCTGAGCGGTGAACACGTGCGACGCTTGATGTTTTTGCAACAGGCGCGTTCAAACGCGGTGAGATGTCCAGAAAATTGTCTCAAAATGATGCCATCGAAAATATATCTAAGTGGAATACAAATGACGTCTTGTGTCTCCTAAGAAAGGTGAGTAAACTTTCAATGTTTTATCCTTGTCATCCATTCTGTATGAATTTTACCTTGGGAGAAAATTATTTTACCTTACGTAGGATGGGTCATTGCACTTATCCAATATACACCTGGTATTTCCACAGATCGTGATTGATTCGTTCGAATGTTTTTGATATTTGAAAAACAAAAAAATAACAAAAAAAAAACAAAAAAATTTGTTTTAAATACAAATATTCAAAAGTACCGGAAGTAATAAGATAAAGGCAGGAAATAAAAATCAAATGAGATATGTATTATCTGAAAGAGAAACAATCAAAAACGAGTAATGTGAAAATAATAATTGTTTATATTATCAAAATATTTCGAAAAGATTTATCTCTTTTGATTATTATTTCTAACACAATTGTGTGTTTTATTATTCTTCTATTTATATTCTAATTTTCTTTTTTCTTTTTTTTCTTTCTTTCTCGTAGTATTTTGATTAAAATTAAATTTAAAATACGATTTCTCGAAATACAACGTATATTTTTTTTTTACTCTTCTTTTAATTTGAAATTCTTTCAAATATTTCAAATATCTTTAAGTAATTTAATACTATGACGATTTTTATTGAAATATACAATTTCACGATTTATACAGAATGGTTTGGAAGAATGCTGTACAGCAGTTTCGAAACGGCAAATCGACGGTGACGATTTTTTGGTAAATATAATTAATATAATGAATTTTTAATTATGGAAAAATTTCTTCTTCTATAATATTTTATATCAAAAATACTTAATATGCATTTTGGAAATTCATTAAAATGAATGTTTGAAATCAATCAACACAATGATAAAATTAAAGATATTTTTTTGTTTGTTTGTTTTCTCCCAAAATTCTTCATCTTTTAATAAGTATACAATTATTTTCGTTTAAAAATTGCATTATTTGGATACTAAAATGGGCACGCGCCCCTCTTTAGAACGAGATCTTAATTGATTCTAATTATTCCAGCACTTGACTGAAGGGAAGTTGGCTCTATGGAAGAGTGACCTCACTCGTTCTTTGAAATGGTAAGAAAAACGATGCTCTACACGATTTGAATTTTACGATAGAAGACGTTGTTCAAATACTTACGCGTATTTATTTCCAATGAACTATATAACCAACTGGCAAACTATCAACTCACACACACACACACACACGTGAATTTGAGACACATCGTTTGACAACGCGGATTAACGGTATCTTCCAATACGGTATTATTTTTCAAATAAAACTTCAACAGAGTGTTCTGTATCATTGTTATGTCTTATTTTTTTTTTTACATTCCCCCCCCCCTCACTAGCTTTCTACATATATATATATATATACATATTATCAAAGCCACGTTGGCAAAGCTATTGTTTATAGTGATACTGTAACTGTATATATATATACATGGTATCCTGTGGTATTAATCGATTTTGGTTTCATTTCCATTGTGTCTCTAATGTGCTGCTTACATTTACAAATCAATAATGTTGTTGAATATATACGTGTAAGTATTTTACACGTTCATCAATGGATCTTATATATATATATGTATGTATGTAATTTCATTTGTGTATAAAAGAAAGCGATAACATTTATCGCAAAATTCTCCATTAAATAGTAAACCGCGAGATAACAGGAGTTTACAAGTAAAGTTGTTTTTTCTTTTTTTTTTGGTATCATCCAATAGAACGTGTGTGTAATAATTGAAATTATAGGAATATTTGTAAATCGATTAATGGAGGAGGGAGGGAACACTAACCACCATCCTTCCTTTCTTTAAAGTAAAACACTTCGATGTTGAGTATTCGATAAAATGAAATTGCAATTGATGCATTTAACTCGGTAATCACTCAGGAGGCATACAAGATTTACATAAGTGGTAATTGCATAGCGTGTGGGTTGTAGTTGTATCCTTTAATGTAACATCGTCAGCTTTACGAGTTAAGTGTTTATAAAAGTGGAATATAAAAAAATCCCTATTCTTGCGTATGATGGCGTAAAAATGGCTTTGTTAAATAAAAAAAAAAAAAAAAAGAGATTCGATTATTATTATTGTTATTGTTATTTTGTTTTCTTGCTATATCATTTTTATCACTTTGTTAAATAATATATGATATAATATTTATATATATATATATTTTGTTTGTTTGTAGGGAACTTCGTACATTGGTAGAAAAAATAAATCAATATCCGGAGAAATATGTACAAGAACACAATATTGAAACTGAACAACAACAAGAACAACAACAACAACAAGAACAACAGCAGCAGCAGCAGAACGAGGATCACATGAGCGATACCAGTTCTTGGGACACAGATTTTGAAGATGACATAACGGAAGAACAACATATTAATTCTACTTTTACTGATACCAAGAACATTAATGATAATAAAATTAATTTGAATTATGGTAACGATCATGATATTTCGACAAAAATGACAAATATCCAAAGTATTAATGAGCATGTTGATGAACATTTAATTAAAGGAGACGACAAAGAGGATGAAACGACATATCAAAATTTGGAATTTACCATATCTGACTTTAATAGTGCATACACTAATTATCAAGACAACATGATGACCAATCAACCATCTAAAAATGTTTCAAAGTTACATGGAACTATAGAAAAATCTTTGGCCGAACAATTGAAAGAAGAATTGAAATTGAGAAATTCTAAGAAACCAATATTAAGACCAAAACCCGATTCATTGCTCATTTCAAATAGGCCGAAAAATGTTACGACGATTTCAGAACAATCGCAAAAATCATTTTTACATGATGAATCCAAAACGAAATCACGAACACTAAGTGATCTACAAAGTTAGTTCTTTACTTTAACAGATGTGTATTTTTTTTTGTTTTTTAAACTTATTTGAAAAAATAATCGTTGAATAATTTGTTGTGTTTAAATTGTTGTTAAACGTTTTTCTTTTTTTTTTTTTTTTATTTGATAATTTTAAAATATATATAAAAAAAATAAAAAGAAGAATAATAATAATAAGAAGAAGAAACTTACANTTTTTTTTTTTTTTTTTTTTTTATTAGAAAGAATGGCTGTACCACCACCACCGGCACCTAAAATACCTAACGTCGAACAAAATTTGTCCAAAATAGGAAAAAACGAACAAGAATTATTATCTAAACCGTCCATATCGATTAGAAATTTAGATTTAATTGCTAATTTACCAACCAGACAGGAGGAAAGTGAGGACGCATATGAACAATTTGACGATCAAATAATAGAACAAAATCAAAGATCGATGATCTCGAGAATCGACAGTAAACAGTCATTGACCAGTGGAGCCCAAAGTTCTATAGAAAGTGTTTATCAACCTCTTAGTACGACCAGCTGTGAAGAGGAGGAAGAACTCTACGAGATTTATGAATCCATTAGAGATCCGGTAAATTAGTGACCGATTTTTCTTACTTGCTTGCTTCATTTTTTTTTTTTTTTATATTAATTCTATCATTAACACATTTATTTTAATTTCTCTTTTTAGCCTGAAAATAATGTTAATTATATAGAACCACTACAAACAACACCAAACAGTAATATTCTACCACCGCCATTACCTGTCAAACCAGCCATTACACCACCCCCAACGTTGCACGTGACAAAATCGAAGAACAATGCAAATGGTTAGTACATTTTAATTATAAACACAAAATAATTGTCATCTACACGTGTTATTACTCATTATTTTAATATAATGTTGTTTTTTTAATGAGATATTTATCCGTGAGTAAAGAATAAAGAAACGTAGTTAAGAATAATGAAGAAAATAAAACAGAATAGAAAAGAATCATCGTATATTACGTGATAAGGGATAAAAAAAAACATCGAATACAGTTGAAAAGGAAAGAAACAAAAAGTATAATGTATTTATCTTCCCACGAACACGTGTGCAACAAATGGCTGGTTATTAAACTGATCTTACTCTCTCTCTCTCTCTCTCTTTCTCTCTTTCACTTTGTCATGCAACTTGATGCGCTTTGCAAATTTTCTGTCAGTCGATCACGAACTACCGTCCTGTTTATTTAAATGCATACACCAAAGGATTATTTCTTTAAACTTTGATATTTTTTTTTAATTTTTTTTTTTTTTTTTTTTATTGATTGTAAGAATTTGTTTGAAAGTAAAGATGTTGATTGATACGTACCTGATATCATCAAAAATATTAATAACAATGTATAACGATTTGCAATACGTTTGTATTTGCATAATAAGATCGAAAGATCAAAGTAATAATAAGAATTTACGTGAAAATGTGATCTAAACATTTCAATGAAAATATTGTCAATTTAATTTTCTATCTCATCATCATATTCATTCACTTACACACAGTTAATAAATAGTTAGTGTATAGAAAAAAGAATAATAATATAGAAAAATTGATAGGGGATTGATCAAATTAGAACAAGAGATAATCGAATAGTGTGATGGAATGTGGTTCCTGCTTTTATCTCAGGCTGAGCAAACATCTCTTAGGAGGTTTAGGTGTGCGTCTGGCCGATGAGGTCTCCGATATGATAGTAAGGATCAAGAGAGGTCTTTCTAGATGTTGCTATTATCAACCACCAGATCCCCCAGGTATATCAAATTATTGCAAAAGCACGTTTACAATTATTAAGCATGAAACCTGAATAAATTCTTCTTAAACGTGCCTTTATAAATGTTCTTCTTATGAACTAATAATATTGGGACACCCGTTGAAGATATCTGATCTATTTGGAAGCTATTTCTAAATTATTTGGGAAACTTATATTGTGTACCCCATGCTAAGAGAGACCAACGGAGAGAAAAAGAATATGTGTATGTGTGTGTAAGTGTGTGTATGTGTGAGAGAGAGAGAGAGAGAGAGAGAGTGTGTGTATGTGTTGTATCATAACTTACTCGCCATTATTTTCCATCGTTTATAAATGCATACCGTCGCAACGTTTCATCCTCAGTCTCCTACAGTTTCTCGTGCAATACACTGGAAAAAATATTCTCTGCTTTTCTCTGAAAAAGTTCCATTTTTTTTTGTATATCTATATATATATAAATATATCGGTGTTGAAAAAAAAATAATAACGAAAAATATTATTACTATTAATTTGTTAATAAAAAGGAACAAAAACAATCAATTTCGCGTAATATAAATTTACTGTTTAACTTAATCGTCACTGCGAATTAAAATTCAAATAGATCGTCGTGACTAACCGATAATTTCTCAAATTTATCACAATTTTCATTAAAAAAAAAAAAAAAAAAAACAAACAAGTAATCAAATTTATATAGAAATTTAGTGATTACTAATATCAACGATGAGTAACTTCTGAGAGTAGAAGATTTGTTGTTTTGCTTGCAAAATAAGACCTTGAAAAATCTGACTGATGATCTTTTAAACATTTTCAAATAAACCGGATTTGAGTGATTTTTTTTTTTTCAGTTTTCCTTCTTTTTCCATCTTATTGGAATTTTATCTCTCGTTGTTTAAGATCCCTGATAATTTAACCATAGCTAGAACCATCACAGTTGTGCGACGTATAGTGCTCGTGTTAAGAACGTGCGTGTGATACGTTTGATATTTTCTAAAAAAGCTCCGATAATTTGAAACATGGATGGAGATAAAAAAAACGATGATGTATACGTACACGTACTTTTGTTAAATGCATGAATCCTAATATTGTACAAGTGTTAATCTGCATATGTCACTTTTTGAAAACAAACAAACAAAAGAAGAACACGCATTTAATTGATAAAAAAAAACATGGCAACTATAATAACCGATAGTAAAAGAAATGTATCATTGAATACTGCAGTACGTCGACAAGCAAGCCTATCCGAGTGTCTGACTCAAGCTGCTCTGACACAAGCACGTCTAAATTTAGCAAGTTAGTGTGTAAACAAAGTTTGGCAATTTAATTGTTTCTTTTTTTTTTATATTTTTTAAATTCTTCTTTTATTTTATAGTAAAGATAATGGTTTAATTTTTGAAGGGGTTTTTAAATTATTTGATCATATTTTTAAGTTGTGTCCAATTGTTTCAGAACGTTCACCAGACAAAAAGTCAGCGACCTTGCCACATTATGGTAGCAATACTTCATTATCATCAAGCGAAAGAGCTACGAGACCATTACCACCACCACCAGATCGATTATCTTACATAGACAAGCCTTGGTTTCACAATGTTACTCGTTCTCAAGCCATAACACTTATTACGGAACGTACGTATTAAAAAAAAAATAATAAAACAGAATTTTAGTTAATCCTTTGACTGCTACGCTGAAATGTTTTGCCCAGAACGCCATTGCATTATTTTTATTATTCAAACAATATCATGGCAAAATAAAATTAATAATAATAATAATAATACAAAATTGTAATTGTTCAATAGTACACTTTTTACTTCAAAGTATCTTCTGTATATCGGTCATATTTAAATACATTAATTTTCAATTTTCATTTAGTTTTTCTTACAATTGTAAAAGGTTCATACGCTCCGGTTATCCAATGACCAATATGGCGTCTCAGGAAAAACTGTGGCTTATCATATATGATCAACATGGCAGTCAAAGTGTTAATAATTGTCTAACTTGTTAAAGTTAGTTAAAATATATATTAATAATATTATTATTAATTAAATTACAGAAAGTACTTACGGTAATCCGCAAGATGGTTATTTTCTTTTGAGACCTTCTACAACCAACGTTAATAGTCCATTGGCTCTTGTACTTTGGTGCAAGGATAGGGTTTATAATATTCCCGTTAGAAAAAGATCTGATAATAGGTATCAATATTTTTATAGGTTATATTTTTCATTATGGAAATATTACGGGGGTTGAAATTAAAAGTTTATGTGTACGTTTATTGTATAATGAATATTTTTTCTTTTTATAAAATTTGTACTTTTGAAAAATGGAACTTTTGTTTCAAGCCTAAATATGATGATGAATTATATTTTGTAAATGTTTAATTTGAATATTTGCAGGTACGCTTTGGGATCTCCAAAATTAAACGAACAATCGTTTTCAAGTGTTGAAGAAATCGTAACGTGTTACACAAAAGAAGAATTGGTACTTTATACAGGTGGCGTACAAACAGGAAGTACGAAATTAACAGATACACCATCGAAATGAAATACAAACAAACATGTCTCACGTAAGATGAATTTTTACTTCTCAAAGGAAAAAATGTAAAACATAAATGGGGGAAGAGATGGGGTGGGGTGTATTATTAAAATCACGTGTCATTTAATATAAGAGAACACACGTGTGTTCACGTGTCATGGTCAACATAAGGATACTTAAAACAAATTTGATCATTTACAAATTTACAGTTAATTCTAAAGTGCCTCTCGATCATGTAGAAATAGATAGATTCTAGTTTTTATGTATCATATGTGTAAAACTGGTTGCACGTTGCATTTAGTATACATATATACATATTTTATATTAATATTTTATAAATTTGTCTTTTTTTTTCTTTTTTCTATTTACATATCTTAAAACGTATTATCATGTGTGCCTTCGACGAACAAGATTTGTTCTGTTAAATCAAATAAGATATGTATGTTTATACACCATTTTCAATCTCATATTTTATATAATGGTATTTTTTTATTAAAAATAGATACAAAATTGTCGTGAGATAATTAATATTATTATTAATCGAGATTTTTATAAAAAAAAAAAAAAAATATAAATTTATGAAATAAAATTGTAATTTTTATACAAAATATTTGTTAGATTTTTGAATTGCAACGTATTGCAGAGGTCGGCAACCCCTTTTGAGTTGAGAGAAGAGCCCAAAAATTACAATTAACAAAATTTCCAAGTTTTTCAAGAGCCACCAAATGTTGTCTTGCCAACAAAATAAATAGTACTCGCATAACACGCATAATTCGCATAAATAAATCTTTAAGAGCCGCAGTTTCACATCTGAAGAGCCGCCATGTGGCTCSCGGAGCCACAGGTTGCCGACCCCTGATCGTATTGGATATACAAAAAAAAAAAAAACAAAAAAAAACAAATGAAAAGTATAAAACTTGTATAAGTTTTTCCAATCTATTTACTAAATAATTTATTTATTAACGAAACGAATTGATCAATTAATGTATTAATTTACGTAATTAAATGCTGAACAATAATATTAATAGTTTTTTTTTAAATTATTAATTCATATTAAGTGTGTAAGTGTGTTGTGTATATATATATATATATAAACGGATACGTATATTCAATTATTATTGTACGTTCCATTCGTTGATGATGAGTATTTATCTAATAATATATAAGGTTTTATTTTCCAGAATCGAGTGATAATGATATCAGTGTTAAATAACACCCATTTTGATAATTGAATCGATTCACTTTTTGTAACGGTGTTTAATCGAGATCGTATTTTTTTTTAACAATGTCGCAAAAGAAAAAGAAAAAAGAAAGAAAGAATATATTTGTATGATGACTTATACCCTTTTTAAAATCAACTCAAAGCGATTGTACAAATTTAGAGATAACTTCTATGTGATAACCAGCCAGCTGTGCGTACTTATAATCAAAAATAATAAGTAGTTTGATTTTTATAAAGAACTCTCTCTCTCTCTCTCTCTCTCTATCTCTATCTGTCTTTCTCTCTTATATAGTGAAAAAGAAAAAGAAAAAAAAAAGGAAAAAAGACATTGTTCAACAAAAATCATCCAATTGAAATTGCAACATTTCAGTTATTTTATAAAGTTGGAAAGTGCATTGCAACATATTATCGTAAGTTTCTACACGTCCTTGTATATGTACTATTAAATATAATGATATTTTAAAAGTTTCATTTACGTAAAAAAAAAAAAGATCTAAAGATTAAATTATTTTGAGTAAAATAATATTACAAATATATATATATATATATATATATATATATATATATATATATATATATATATATTATAAACTATTATAATATTAATAATATATT